GGGTTGCTTAAGGAGCTCAAACCCTCCGACCGGTCCACTGCCATGTTCTCAAGGGCCACCAACTTCTCAAAGTACGACCAAGCCATCATGGCTGATCCAGCTCGCAAATGAAAGAGCCGCCCTTCCAGGTCAGGTAGCTCAGCACGCAACTCTTCAAGACTTTTTCCCGAAAAAGCCACAAAGCCCTCTTGGAGAGGTGTCGTCAGGAAAATGTCTCTTGCCGGGTTGTCATCATTCTCTCGGCTGGCAAGCTCGATGGTCAAACGTTTGAGGTAGTAGATCATCTTCTCAACATTTGTTGCGGCAGTGTGCCATCGCGAGGCTTCACCGCGCAAGTCGTTGAGTGCACTGACCTCCAACAAAGAAGCCGAAACTTCTCCTTGGAGTTGGCAGTCAGCAAGCTCAGACAAGCTGACGGTCATCAAATCGCGCCCCGGAAACAGCACGATCGAATCGCGCTCTCCGGCAGGGCGGGCACTGGTCGCAGCGGTCACATCAGCAGCGGCGGACATGTCTCTCAACGAGTGTCGGGATGCGAAAGAAAAGCGTCACACAGGCGATGGTTCGCGGAAGCAGCTTGAGACAAAGCAACATGGTTTCCTCATACTTGCAAAACTCACAAAACAAGTTCAAACCACAAACCAAGCTTTCAAGATGACTAGTTACAAAAACATCAACCTCCCAAGAATCTTCCAAGCTCAAAAAAAAATGCAAACCGGCAAACAAGGCAAACAAAACACATCTGTTCCACAATTTTTCACAGCCAAATTCAACTCAAGCTACTATCGCTCTAGTCGTCTCCAACTGCAAACATGGAAAACTCAAGAAAACAACAAACAGAAACATGCTCAACAAGCAAATCAAGCTCAAGCAACTATTGCCTTAGCCCTACTCACCTGTCAACATGTCAACAACTCAAAAGCTTGCACAGTCACTGCTCATGGGTCATGACTCCTTTTTACCGCAACTGCAAGCAAACTTTCAAGTTCTCTCAGTCTCTTGGCCTCGTTCCAGTCTCCACCGTGGAAGAATTCCTGTCCTTGAAAGAAAACGGCTGCGGGCATCTGTCAGTTCACCTGAGACATAGGCAAGTACAAGTGCAAGTAGAAAAACAGTACGTCGTCTCGATTTCCTTGGGAAAGAGGTAGCTATCCGGAAAGTCGGTCAAGCAAAACTGGATTCCCAAGGCTCCTGCTGTCCAAGACCATCTTCACCCAAAAACAGCATTTCACACACCAGAAACTTGAAAACAAATGCACAAGACAGCTTTAAGCAATTTCACAGTGAATGCTTCCAATCCAGATTCCAAAAAGCAAAACGCACATGCATTCAATTCTGCAAAACTCAAAACACTGCACCAAAGAACAGAAGGCTCCTAAATCAACAAGAAACAGTCCTCCTACACCTCCGAACCTAGTCGGACCTCAACAACTGCTCTCGGACACGTCCTTCCACTAAAGTTCTGTCATGTGGACAAAGGTTCCAAATCTTCGCGCTAACAAGACAAAGCAAAACGAAACTGTTCAGAGGAGTTTCGGACACAAACGAACAACAACGGAAACGCGCAAAACAGATTCAGAAACTCTCCCAAGTCAAAGTGCATCTCGAAAAACTGTTCGGGCAAAAGCACATTCGAGAAAGTTCAAACTTCAGCAGGCACAATGCCCAAAGCTCCCGTCGGACGAAAAATGCAAGAAACACGCACGATGAGCATACTCCCCTTCTCGAACTGAACGTTCACCGATCGGAAGTTCGTCGTCATCGGCGTCTCGAGACAAGCCCCTCAACAATGCTGCCTTATCTTCATCCAAACCAGGTACAAGTCCTACAGCGTTACAGAGGTTCAGCCACATCTCAATGAGCTTGCAACTCTTTGTGAGACCGTCGGACGGGTTGGAAACACCTTCCCAATGTTCCAAGGTCAAGCGGCGCCTTCGATGGAGGTATTTGACGTAGTGTGCACGAAGTTCCATGTGCTTGACACGTCGAAGCAAACCTTCCATGGTCGATATGGAAATCGCCGCTTTCCCATCGTTGTACAAGTGAAGCTTCATGCTGCCGGTGGTCTTGGCTGGCATGCCTATCTCGTCAAGAGGAATCCCATCGCGAGCTGTCTCGATCAGCATCCCCAGGGCCACAAGTTCTTTGCTAGCCTCCGTGATGGCGATCGCTTCGGCTTCTGCAGACGACAACGCAGGAACCTCTTGTCTCCTACTGAAACACTTCAGGCAGCATCCACGCCAAGAAATGACAGCACCAGAAACGCTGGTCACATTCCATGAAGCATCACAAAAACCTACAACGACCCCTTCTTCAGTCAAAACGGGTGGTGAACTAGCAGGCATCTGCTGCACAAAATGTAAATGACCCTTCAACCAACGAAGAAAGCTACGAAGACAAATCTCTGCCGGAACATGGGGCTTCGACTGAAATCGACTCAAAAACCCAACAGGAAAAGCAAGGTCTGCCCTGGAGAGTGCTGCCCACGCAAGTTGTCCGAGGACCCTACGGTAGCGCTGTGCTTCCGTGGCGGACAGTTCAGGAGTCCCGAACTTTTTCTCTGCGTCTTTTAGCAGCTCCTCCAGTTTGGGCATGGCTGAACCGGTGGATTCTTTGAGCTTCTCTTCCCATGAAATAAAGATGCCTTCCATGTAGCTCCTGGAAACTCCAAAGTACAGACATTCCTCTCCGTCATGGCGTCTGTATATCGTGCGGCCTAAGAATTCCAGGAGTCCTCTCTGCCCGGACGGAATGCTCCCCGTGCGTTTGATCTTCCAGATCTTCTGAAGTGCACGCAAGAAGTTCTCACCTCCTTCAACGTCATTACTGGCTATAAGCAAGTCGTCAACGTAGACTAGGACCAACAGAAACTGGGTGTCAGTCTTCACTCTGAACAACGTTGATTCAAAGGTCTCGTCTCCGCCCAAGTCACGGATCGTTCTCTGGAGCTCTAAGAACCACAACAATGGAGCCCTTCTCAAGCCATTCATGGCCTTCTTCAGCCACAAAATGACTCGTTGGCCCTTCACAGTGATATTCGGGGGAAGCAAAACCAGATCACAAGCGTCTGCTTCAACAGGCGCGTACATGAACGCTGTCGACACGTCAGCTGTAAGAAGGCTCATGCTTTCCACCACTGAGAAGGCAAGGACCACTCGCAGTGAGTCTAAGCTACTTGTAGGGGCATAGATGCCAGACCGAAACGCGCTTTCAGCACCAGAGGCGTAATCGCGAACGACCAACCGGGCGCGACAAAGGACAGCAGTCTTTTGGGTAAAAACCCACCTCGCTGTGAGGATTTGAGCTTCATGCTCAACTGCAATGGTGCGACCCTTCTTCTCAGGATAGGTGTCACCAACTTCCAATGTCTCCAGTTGCACCATTTCTGTGCGAATCCCCTCAACCACCTGGTCATGCGCTATGGGGTGCCCTGTCAATTCATCACACACTCCCTCAGCGATCTGTACATCTATTTGGTTTCCCCCAAACTGAACTGAGATGGAAGAACCTTGACCTTCTGCCTCGACATCACCTCCTACCTCATCACACCTAGAGGTACCTGCCAAGAACTCATTCATTGCTTCGTTCTGGGCATGGTGGATGACTCGATCCAAGACAACATCAAGGTCCATAGGTTCTCCAACTCCTTCTGGAGCTAAGCTCCCATCTGGCAAAGGAATTTCGACCTCCATGTCTCCATCCCCTTCTTCACCTGCAACCTCCCCACCTGCACCTGCACCACCTGAGTCCTCAAGTGGCCTCTTCACTGACCTCTCCGGATCATGAACTGGTGGCGGAGGAAGCGCTTGTTCGCCACTTCTGGGATCAACATATGCACCCGCAAGCAGAGGAAACAAGACGTTCACGTCATACCATGGTGATTGGTCCCTAACTCTGAAATTGTGACCCTTGATCACTTCCCTCACTCCAGTGGAGTCAACAGAAACCGGGTAAACCAAACAACCACCACCTGTGCTGTACCTGGCCCCCAAATAAGCACCAAGCACCATCCTCTGACCTTGCCACTTCTGTGCATGAACTGGCTTCACAAAACCCATGATCCCAAAAGGAAAAGTTCGTGGTATCTGACCTCCTCTCTTCTCTCTCAGAGATTCCAAAGGAGTGCCACCCCACTTGCGCTCACAAAAACCATTGAAAGTCCTGTAGGTGTACCCAACCAGATACCCCATCAAAGGTGACTCCAAAGCCAACCTCATGCCTAAATGAGCTTCCAAAGCCAACCAATTGGTGAACAAACCCTCTTTCATGATCCCCACGGCACGTTCTACACCCTTGGCCTGTGGACGATTCTCTGAGATGTTCCTCCAATGGAAGCCTCGACAGTTGGACTCTCTCAGAGACCTCTGCATCAGGTTCAGCAGGTAGGCTTCGTTGTCAGTGGCCACTTCCAAAGACAAACCTCCAACACCGATCTCATTCAACACAGAGACAGTGGACTTCACGTCCTTTTCCCGGTCACCACCTAAAACCACCATACCGATCATGCCAGTCTGAATCATGAGCAAAACCAACACCTTCCAGTGCCTTCCTCCTACAAACATGATATCAGCTGCAAGATCACATGTGCTAGATTCCTGGTCCTTTCGTCTCCTCGCGGGCGTCCGACCTCTTGCCTGAACACACGCATCACACCCTCGATCATACGGCCAATGTCCTCGACACTCGTGCTCGTACAACAAACTGCCTTCCAGTTCGGGTGATGGATCTTCCAGATCCGACGAATGTGGACCCTCAGGGTCATAATGGGGCAACTCCCCGGGTGGTTCGTCAACCTCGGAACCTGCCTCAACCATCGGATCTTCGGCCTCCGCCTCTGGACCAACCTGATCGGGAATGGAAGGAGTG